CTGTGTCACCACCTCCAATAATAGAGGTAGTACCTCAGTTGCTCCACACTGGCCCTTGTTACCCATGCTGTTTTTGCTGGCTGTGAGTGTTGCCACGACTGCCGTGCCCATATAACTGGTCGCCGCTTGCCCCGCATGACGAGACTAGCACCACGCTTGGTAGCTGCAACAACGTCGTCCATCAATGATTTGGTCCCAGCTTCGAAACCTAAGCGCTGGCAGGCACACAATGATAACTGCCTGACCCAAGAGGGGCAACAAGACGGCTCCAGAGAACTGATGCCAAAGACACTGAGCGTGAACTAGGACAGGAGGATAACCCGTTGAATCCGGTTGAATCCTGTTCAAGTTGATTCGGGCGCCCTGAGCTCGAAGCTCGCCATCTCAAATACGCCCATCGGCCCGTTCCAAATGATAGTCTTGGCCTGGCGATGGACTCCATGGAGTCGCCAAAAGGATGTCAATTAAATACGAATTGAACCGGCCTTCTTCACAGACTTGCGGTTCAACGCTTGGCTCTCTGGCCCACAGTCCAGGCCTCTGGGTATCATGTCAACACGCACACTTTCCATGCTCAGTTGTGCTGCACGCTTGCTTCCCAGTTGCCCATGAAGCCATCTGGGATTCCTTCGGCCTAAGGCCCCCAAAACATCCTTCGTGAGCCCTCGAAGCACTCGACACACGCGTGCCTTTGTCACCGTCTTGACCTCTCCATTCTCCCCAAATTCGCTCGAAACCTGGGCTAAGGCGCACCGGAGCTCCAAGGACTGGGCTGCCATAGCTTTCATTGGCATTCAATTGCAAACAAGGCACTACAAAATCCACCGGCAGGACAAGCTCAACCTATGTCAGAACACGCGCGCCAACTGTCTGTCAAAACCGCCAAAGTGCGCCACTCCCTTTTCCTTTGCCTGCCCATTGCGGCATGTCTGCGCATCAGCTTCAACGCAGTCCAGACCTTTTCCAAGATTTCTGGCACGATCTTGGCTCCTTCCTGGAATGGATGTCCATGAACTGCGTTGCGCTAGTCAAGTGACTAACAAATTGCCTCGTCGAACAAAGAGTTTCCTATCTGCATTCCGTCAATCTTCAGGAAGGTGTAGGCCTAAATGCAAAATCGAAACATGAAGACAAAATGAAGAAAACAAAGAAAAGAAAGAAAGAAGAAACAAGGAGGGCTCCTGCTAAGGTCAAGAGGATCAATGGCTGCGCCACATGCTGCATCCCAGATCTATGCCTCGGGCCATTCCACCTGCAGCGTTACACACGAAAGCAATAATAGACTGCGGTGGCTCGCCTCCGATGATCATGATGTCTACCTCTGCATGCAAACGAAACAACTAGATGCTGAAAGATTTGTCCACTGTTTGCAAGTAAGGATAAATAACATGTCACAGTCGTGCCTGCCCCCCCCCCCCAACGATGGGGTATGTGGAATAGTATCTTGAGGTGAGTTTCCATTAGATTTAGTATCGGTAGACTTGAGTTTCCATTTCATTTAGTATTGCTGGAGCTTCCTTTTGAGATTTGGAACTGAGTTTCCATTTGATTTAGTATTGCTGGAGCTTTCTTTTCAGATTTGGAACTGAGTTTCCATTTGATTTAGTATTGCTGGAGCTTCCTTTTGAGATTTGGAACTGAGTGTCCATTTGATTTAGTATTGCTGGAGCTTCCTTTTCAGATTTGGAACTGAGTTTCCATTTGATTTAGTATTGCTGGAGCTTCCTTTTGAGATTTGGAACTGAGTTTCCATTTGATTTAGTATTGCTGGAGCTTTCTTTTGAGATTTGGAACTGAGTTTCCATTTGATTTAGTATTGCTGGAGCTTTCTTTTCAGATTTGGAACTGAGTTTGCATTTGATTTAGTATTGCTGGAGCTTCCTTTTGAGATTTGGAACTGAGTGTCCATTTGATTTAGTATTGCTGGAGCTTCCTTTTCAGATTTGGAACTGAGTTTCCATTTGATTTAGTATTGCTGGAGCTTTCTTTTCAGATTTGGAACTGAGTTTCCATTTGATTTAGTATTGCTGGAGCTTCCTTTTCAGATTTGGAACTGAGTGTCCATTTGATTTAGTATGGAGCTTCCTTTTCAGATTTGGAACTGAGTTTGCATTTGATTTAGTATTGGTAGCCATTTGATTTAGTATTGCTGGAGCTTCCTTTTGTTTTTCTTGGGGGGGCCAGGCAACAAGACTTTATTTCGGGGGTCCCTGAAATAATGTCAGGTTGTTTTAAGCAAGAGACATGTAAGAAAACCTGGGTTTGGTGAAGCTGACAATTTTGGATTTGAGGAGCAGGCCCAAATCTAACAACACAGCATGAAGCATTGCCAGCCTCACCTAGGCTGTCTAATTGCTTGACTGGCTAAGAGGCAATTGCACTGGGCAGGTTGTATTTTTCAGGAGGCAGGCAACAAGACTTTATTTCGGGGGCCCCTGAAATAATGTCAAGTTGGGGGCTGAAGTACTACCCCCTTTGTGGGTTTGATTGTGGGCAGGTTTTAAACAAGAGACTTTTAAGAAAACATGGGTTTGGTAAAGCTGACAATTATGGCGCGGGTGTTTTTTTGGTTATGTGCATGTCCCCCCCCCCCCCCCCCGACAAACGAGTAGGCACTGCCAGCACTAAAGCTCATCGGCAAGTAAATACCTTCAAGATCCCACCTTGTCCAGCATGTTCTTTATGAGCTGAATCTTGTCACTGACCTTCATGCTGCTTTCTGAAATTTGTGCATGTGCTTGCATAAGCTTTATGGCCTTGGCACCACCTAGTATTGCCAGCACTGGCTGGCGAGGTTTGTTCAACACCTGTCCAATCATTTCACTCTGAGCTCACTATCAAGCGGTGCTTGTAGTCTCCAGCCTTGCCAAACGAAGACAGCTCCTTACCTCAAGAGACTCTGACTGCACAGCAAATTATTTTGCAAACTGAGAGAAGTACCCATGAGGAAGCCAGCGACTCTGATGGGAAAGCCTTCGCCTAGCATGCTGCTGTGCGCCTCGGCTACATCTTATCGCTCTACATAAAGCAACGAGCGCAGCTAAGCCAGCTGCTCGGTGGGCAGTGCCAAAAGCATCATTGACATAGACGTCTCCCAACTTGGCCTAAATGGTTGGAGCGCCAGACATCCAATATTGAGAGTACCAAGTTGAGCACCAATGAGGCTCGAAACTCCTTGACCTTCTCCGCGTCTGCCTTGACTCTCAGCTGACCAACATGATTGCAGGATTTCTGGCCGACACGAAGCATGCTTGCTCTGCTGTAAGCCACATACTTTTTCTTTTGCTTCGTTTTTACCTTCCTCCTCGATGTGAAATCCTTGGACAAGCGGACAAGGAATGTGGGCACCGGCAAGAGAGACTGATGCAGGCTGCCAAATGAACAAGCAAGAGAGGCGATTGAGACCTGGACGAAGGTTTTCGAGCAGAATGACGGACCCTTGTGCAGGATCTGCGCATGCAGCCTGCAACAGTATGATATATGTAAGTGTGTCACAAACGCAACTGCTAGCCTCGACTTCACTGCCAACACAGTCCTTCAAGAACAGCACGTCCTGACCAAGGATCCTGGCAACGCAGGAGGCTTATGAGACTTCAGCGTGGCTCAAACATGTGAGAGGCTCTTCTCCAGTTCTTTGGCAACTGGAGCCAAGGAATACTTCCTGGCATCACGAAACAGGATATGACGAGTTGACGAGTGAAGTTTGAAGCAGGCCATGGGAACTCCACAGGCTTGCCATCTGGTCTACCCAAGTGTGAACCTACGGTGTCAAAGTGTCAAGGCACTACGGAGTCAAACACTCGAGTCAATATCCCTCAAGTCCAAGCAGGTGACTTGCTGAGGCACGGTCAAAGCACTACCGATTTGGCACCCTTCTTGAGGCAGTGCCTGATCGTGGGTACTGCCTGCCACGAGAGAAACTGCTAAAGAAAAAACACACGGTGGATATATGATGATGGAAAGCTGGTAGGCAGTCAAACTAGCCGAGCAATCCCCATCGATGCGCTGAGTGTTTGTGATGACAGTTGGATCGCTCTTATCCTGACACAGGGTGGGATCATCTGTCGAAAGAAGCTTGTGCCCAAATGTCCGAATCATTCCTGAGGCACGTTGAAGTCAACCCGGATAAACACCTCGGTTGAGGCAAGTTGCTTACAACTCGATGCGGTGCTGCTGTCCAACCCGCTTGTCCCTCACGTCCACTTCTTTCAGCGTCATCTTGCCCATCGCCTGGGTGCATGCGGGCCAATTGCTTCTGGATTTTGGAGGCATTCCAGACTTTTCTATACGCTAGCACTCGAGTCAATCGATCAGAAACAGTACCCAAAATTGAACTCCACTGGTTCTAAGACCTGAACCATGTTGATGACCCAGGCACGGCGGGAGGCCTTCAAACCTCACCCCACAGCCTAGGCAGAGTTGGCTTGAGCCACAAGCGGCTTCGGATGGCACCTCATCAACTAGCTTTTGGCAAGATGCATCGCATGGCCGCCAAGACATATCCAAGTCAAGCGGCGTCAGCTCTGTGCAAAGCTGCAACATGCAAATGAAGGCTATGTGCGTGCCTCATCCACCCAGGCCATCTGAACATCGGACTGCTCGATCAAGATGAGGGCGTTCTTTCGAGGACCCTGGCGCAAGGATCCACTACACGAACCCCAGATTCCTGATGGTTCCTGATGGTTCCTGATGGCTCCTGATGGTTCGTGATGGTTCCTGATAGTTCCTGATGGTTCCGGTGGGTCCTGATGGTGGCTGACAGTTCTTGATGGTTCCTAATGGTTCCTGATTGTTCCTGATGGTTCCTGATGTTTCCTGATGGCTCCTGGTGGTTCCTGATGGTTCCTGGTGGTTCCTGATGGTTCCTGATGCTTCCTGATGGTTCCTGATAATTCCTGATGATTCCTGATAGTTCCTGGTCCTTTCCTGATGGTTCCTTTCCTGATGGTTCCTGATGGCTCCTGATGTTTTCTGATGGTTCCTGATGGTTCCTGATGGTTTCTAATGGTTCCTGATACTTCATAATGATTTCTGATGGCTGCTTTCTGATGGCTGCTGATGGTTCCTGATGGTTTCTGTTGGTTTCTGGTTCCTGACAATGACTCCTGATGATGTTTATGATGGTGGTTTTTGATGGGTCTTGCAGTTTTTGATGGATGGTTCCTGATGGATGGTTCTTGATGGATGGTTCCTGATGGATGGTCCTGATGGATGGTTTCGGATGGATGGCTCTCGATGGTTCGTTCCTGATGGTTGGTTGCTGATGATTCGTTTTTCATGGTTTTTGACAGCTCGGCTCCTTACAGTTCCTTGCGGTTCCTGACGGTTTGTGATAGTTCCTGCTGGCTGACGGTTTCTGGCGGTTCCTGATCTGATGGTTGCTGAGGATGCCTCCTGGCGCTTCCTGATGGTTCCTGGTCCTGGCCGTTGATGGTGACTGATGGTCCCTGATTGCCGGTTCCTGGTTCACACTTGCTGATAGGTTCCTGCTGGGTTCTGCTGGTCGCTACTGGTTTTTGTGGTTCCTGCTATTCTTCTGATTGTTCCTGATGGTTCCTGATGGTCCCTGATGGTTCCTGATGGTTCGTGATGGTTCCTGATAGTTTATGGTTCCTGACGGTTCCTGATGCTTCCTGATGGTGTCTGATGGTTCCTCATGGATGGTTCCTGATGCATGGTTCCTGATGGTTTTTGATGGGTGCCTGATGGATGGCTGCTGATGGTTCGTTCCTGACGGTTGGTTCCTGAAAATTCGTTTCCTGACGGCTGCTGGCTGATGGTTCCCTGATGGTTTCTGGCGATTCCTGATCTGACGCTTACTGATGGCTGTGCTTCCTGATGGTTCCTGATCCTGGCCGTTGACGGTCCTGATTGTTGGTTCCAAAAGTCCGTACATGGTTCCTGAAAATGGTTTTTGCTGGTTTATGATGATGGTTCCTCCTGCTGCTTGCTGATGGTCTTGGTTCCTGCTCGTTCCTGATGGTTCTGCTGGTTGCTAAGGGTTCCTGTGGTTCCCGATGGTTCCTGACGGTTTCTGATAGTTCTTGATGGTTCCTGATAATTCCTGACAGTTCCCGATGGTTCCTAACCTGATGCTGAGGGTTTTGATGGTTCCTGCTGATGGTTTTTGCTGGTTTGCGACGGCTCCCGATGGTTCCTGATGGTTTCTGATGGCTGATGATGATTCCTGACTGTTCCTGGTGGTTTGTGATGGCTGCTGATGGTTTCTGATGGCCTGGTGATTCCTGATGCTTCCGGATGGTTCTATTGAAGGCTTATCTCAAAAGGAGGGACCTCTTGAAGAAAGGCGGGCTCCAACCCAAAAAGAAAACGCTAGCGCGGCCGGAACCTTTTTCGCGCGTGCGGCGCTTGTCCTGAAACCGAGCCTTCCGCCTTGCCCGCTGCTGTTGTCGCAGCTCATGGCGATGGGCTCTTTCAGACGGATGCGGCCGGTGGAAGCGAGCTCCTCAAACAAAGGGCGCCTTCATCCCTTCATCGCCTTCGTCAACAGGTCTGCCATCTGGCGGTGGGTCGGCACCCGCTTCACCGTGGCCAACCCAGCCTCTAGCCTCTGTCGCCTCCTTGCACAACATGCTCCTTGTTCTGGATGCCCCTGCGCCAGTCTCCCTTCACCACCTCAACCTGACCATGGGTGAGGTGCTTTAGGAGGTACCTCATGCACATGTGCTGCTCGTTGCGCAAGCCTGGGCTTCTCGGCACCCGAGCGCTCCTCGCTCTGGTAACCCATGAGGTTCGACGCGCGCTTCCCATTTTGCACAGACTCGCCCGTGAGGAAGTGAACGGCGCCCAACTGTGACCTGCCGTCCTTCTCTTTACCAAGAAGGTCACCACGCAGCACGGTGCAGCGGTAGTACGACTTGGCCAGGCCCGCTGCTCCTCCATGTGATCCTTGACCACTGCCTTAACAACCCTCTGAGACAGGCTGCCACCTGCGGCCAGGCGTCTGCACTTCGTCTCCTCTTTCGGCTGTAGCTTGCGCTCCGGCGGCCAGGGCAGCTTCTCCGCCTTGACACAGCTCGCGAGGTCGTCGTAGACACCCCTCTTATCCTGGCCCAGGTCGATGCCAAGGAAGGTGAACGGCAACAACCTCCAGTCCTTGATGTTGAAGAGCCGGTTGACCTGTGCCTTCAATGCTTGATAGGCCGGGTTGTTGCCGTCACCCACTACTGTTGGTCAGCTGGTCCACGGCTCGCAAACCTCGGAGCTTCCGGGAGGCCGTAGGCGTTCTTATCAAGGCCCATGGTGGCACGGCCTTCTGGCCTTCCACTTCCGGAAGCCCTCCTCCGGCGACTTGATGCACAGCTCCCTCGAAGCTTCCTTGCCCGAGAGGAACGCCGTGGTGACGTCAAAGCATGTCAATGTGAACTTCCAGCGGTTCATCGCCCCGATGGCCTTCACCAGTCGCACCGCCACCGTTGCTGCTGTCGTGCATCGGCGCGGTACTCACCAATCTGTGGGTCCACATGTCCTGGAACCACCAACCTCGACTTCGCTACCCAGTCGGCGACCCTTCCAGTTGCCTGGTCGAAGTACTTCGGGTCCGGCTCCTTACTGTTCTTCTTCAGCTGCAGCATGAGCACTTCTGCCAGCAGCACGTCTTTCACCTCTTCAAACCAGAGACCAATGAGCTCCTCGCGCTGGCAGCACGGCCGCCTCCTCTGTGCCTTCATCAGGCACGGGCACTGAAGCCCGTGCCTCTGGCGCTGCCATGGACGAGTGCCTCAAGCTCCGCCTACCAATATTGAGGGCTTATCCCAAAAGGGGGGACCTCTTGAAGAAAGGTGGGCTCCAAACGAAAAAGAAAACACTAGAGCCTTTGGCACGGCCGGAACCCTTGTCGTGCATGCGGCGCGGTGCAAATTGCAGTCGCTCGGGCCCGAGCTCCAGGATATGGCATGCCACAACACTCAACTGCTCTTCCTGATGCTTCCTGATGGCTCCTGATGGTTCCTGATGCTTCCTGATGGTTCCTGATGCTTCCTGATGGTTTCTGATTGTTCCTGATGGTTCCTGATGCTTCCTGATGCTTCCGGATGGCTCCTGATGGTTCCTGATGGTTCCTGGTGGTTCCTGAGAGTTCCTGATGGTTCCTGATGGTTCCCTATGCTTCCTGATGGTTGCTGATAGTCCTTGTTCCTGATAATTCCTGATCGTTCCCGGTAGTTCCTGATGGTTCCTGATGATTTCTGATTGTTTTTGATGGTTCCCGATGGTTCCTGATGGATCCTGATGGTTCCTGATGGTTCCTGATGCTTCCTGATGCTTCCTGATGGTTTCTGATTGTTCCTGATGGTTCCTGATGCTTCCTGATGCTTCCGGATGGCTCCTGATGGTTCCTGATGGTTCCTGATGGTTCCTGATGGTTCCTGATGCTTCCTGATGGTTTCTGATGGTTCCTGATGGTTCCTGATGCTTCCTGATGCTTCCGGATGGCTCCTGATGGTTCCTGATGGTTCCTGGTGGTTCCTGACGGTTCCTGATGGTTCCTGATGGTTCCCTATGCTTCCTGATGGTTCCTGATAGTCCTTGTTCCTGATAATTCCTGATCGTTCCCGGTACTTCCTGATGGTTCCTGATGATTTCTGATTGTTTTTGATGGTTTCTGATTGTTCCTGACGGTTCCTGATGCTTCCTGATGCTTCCGGATGGCTCCTGATGGTTCCTGATGCTTCCTGGTGGTTCCTGATGGTTCCTGATGGTTACTGATGGCTCCTGATGCTTCCTGATGGCTCCTGATGGTTCCTGATGGTTCCTGGTGGTTCCTGATGGTTCCTGATGGTTACTGATGGCTTCTGATGCTTCCTGATGGCTCCTGATGCTTCCTGATGCTTCCTGATGGCTCCTGATGGTTCCTGATGGTTCCTGATGGTTCCTGATCATTCCTGATGGTTCCTGATGGTTCCCTATGCTTCCTGATGGTTCCTGATAGTCCTTGTTCCTGATAATTCCTGATCGTTCCCGGTAGTTCCTGATGGTTCCTGATGGTTCCTGATGCTTCCTGATGCTTCCTGATGCTTCCGGATGGCTCCTGATGGTTCCTGATGGTTCCTGATGGTTCCTGATGCTTCCTGATGGTTTCTGATTGTTCCTGATGGTTCCTGATGCTTCCTGAGGGTTCCTGATGTTTCCTGATGGTTCCCTATGCTTTCTGATGGTTCCTGATAGTCCTTGTTCCTCATAATTCCTGATCGTTCCCGGTAGTTCCTGATGGTTCCTGATGATTTCTGATTGTTTTTGATGGTTCCTGATGGTTCCTGATGGTTCCTGATGGTTACTGATGGCTCCTGATGCTTCCTGATGGTTCCTGCTGTTTTCTGATGCTTCCGGATGGCTCCTGATGGTTCCCTATGCTTCCTGATGGTTCCTGATAGTCCTTGTTCCTGATTATTCCTGATCGTTCCCGGTAGTTCCTGATGGTTCCTGATGATTTCTGATTGTTTTTGATGGTTCCTGATGCTGCCTGATGGTTCCTGATGGTTCCTGATGGTTACTGATGGCTCCTGATGCTTCCTGATGGTTCCTGCTGTTTTCTGTTGGTTCCTGATAGTCCTTGTTCCTCATAATTCCTGATCGTTCCCGGTAGTGCCTGATGGTTCCTGATGATTTCTGATTATTTTTGATGGTTCCTGATGCTGCCTGATGGTTCCTGATGGTTCCTGATGGTTACTGATGGCTCCTGATGCTTCCTGATGGTTCCTGCTGTTTTCTGATGCTTCCGGATGGCTCCTGATGGTTCCCTATGCTTCCTGATGGTTCCTGATGGTTCCTGATGGTTCCTGATGCTTCCTGATGGTCCCTGATGCTTCCTGATGGTCCCTGATGCTTCCTGATTGTTCCTGATGGTTCCTGCTGCTTGCTGATGGTTCCTGGTGCTTCCTGACTCTTCCTGATGATTTCTGATTGTTTTTGATGGTCCCTGATGCTTCCTGATTGTTCCTGATGGTTCCTGCTGCTTGCTGATGGCTCCTGATGGTTCCTGATGGTTCCCTATGCTTCCTGATGGTTCCTGATGGTTCCTGATGGTTCCTGATGCTTCCTGATGGTCCCTGATGCTTCCTGATGGTCCCTGATGCTTCCTGATTGTTCCTGATGGTTCCTGCTGCTTGCTGATGGTTCCTGGTGGTTCCTGGCTCTTCCTGATGATTTCTGATTGTTTTTGATGGTCCCTGATGCTTCCTGATTGTTCCTGATGGTTCCTGCTGCTTGCTGATGGCTCCTGATGGTTCCTGATGGTTCCTGATGGTTCCTGATGCTTCCTGATGGTCCCTGATGCTTCCTGATGGTCCCTGATGCTTCCTGATTGTTCCTGATGGTTCCTGCTGCTTGCTGATGGTTCCTGGTGGTTCCTGACTCTTCATGATGATTTCTGATTGTTTTTGATGGTCCCTGATGCTTCCTGATTGTTCCTGATGGTTCCTGCTGCTTGCTGATGGCTCCTGATGGTTCCTGATGGTTCCTGGTGGTTCCTGATGGTTCCTGATGGTCCCTGATGCTTCCTGATGGTTTCTGATTGTTCCTGGTGGTTCCTGCTGCTTGCTGATGGCTCCTGATGCTTCCTGATGGTTCCTGATGGTTCCTGATGGTTCCTGATGCTTCCTGATGGTCCCTGATGCTTCCTGATGGTCCCTGATGCTTCCTGATTGTTCCTCATGGTTCCTGCTGCTTGCTGATGGTTCCTGGTGGTTCCTGACTCTTCCTGATGATTTCTGATTGTTTTTGATGGTCCCTGATGCTTCCTGATTGTTCCGGATGGCTCCTGATGGTTCCTGAAGCTTCCTGGTGGTTCCTGATGGTTACTGATGGCTCCTGATGCTTCCTGCTGGCTCCTGCTGGTTCCTGATGGTTCCTGGTGGTTCCTGATGGTTCCTGATGGTTACTGATGGCTCCTGCTTCCTGATGGCTCCTGATGCTTCCTGATGCTTCCGGATGGCTCCTGATGGATGGTTCCTGGTGGTTCCTGATCATTCCTGATGGTTCCTGATGGTTCCCTATGCTTCCTGATGGTTCCTGATAGTCCTTGTTCCTGATAATTCCTGATCGTTCCCGGTAGTTCCTGATGGTTCCTGATGATTTCTGATTGTTTTTGATTGTTCCTGATGCTGCCTGATGGTTCCTGATGGTTACTGATGGTTACTGATGGTCCCTGATGCTTCCTGATGGTTTCTGATTGTTCCTGGTGGTTCCTGCTGCTTGCTGATGGCTCCTGATGCTTCCTGATGGTTCCTGATGGTTCCTGATGCTTCCTGATGGTCCCTGATGCTTCCTGATGGTCCCTGATGCTTCCTGATTGTTCCTGATGGTCCTGCTGCTTGCTGATGGTTCCTGGTGGTTCCTGACTCTTCCTGATGATTTCTGATTGTTTTTGATGGTCCCTGATGCTTCCTGATTGTTCCGGATGGCTCCTGATGGTTCCTGAAGCTTCCTGGTGGCTCCTGATGGTTCCTGATGGTTACTGATGGCTCCTGATGCTTCCTGATGGCTCCTGATGGTTCCTGATGGTTCCTGGTGGTTCCTGATGGTTCCTGATGGTTACTGATGGTTACTGATGGCTCCTGCTTGCTGATGGCTCCTGATGCTTCCTGATGCTTCCGGATGGCTCCTGATGGATGGTTCCTGGTGGTTCCTCAGGGTTTCTGATGGTTCCTGATGGTTTCCTATGCTTCCTGATGGTTCCTGATAGTCCTTGTTCCTGATAATTCCTGATCGTTCCCGGTAGTTCCTGATGATTTCTGATTGTTTTTGAAGGTTCCTGATGCTGCCTGATGGTTCCTGATGGTTCCTGATGGTTACTGATGGCTCCTGATGCTTCCTGATGGTTTCTGATTGTTCCTGATGGTTCCTGATGCTTCCTGATGCTTCCGGATGGCTCCTGATGGTTCCTGATGGTTCTTGATGGCACCTGATGGTTCCTGATGCTTCCTGATGGTTTCTGATTGTTCCTGATGGTTCCTGATGCTTCCTGAGGGTTCCTGATGGTTCCTGATGGTTCCCTATGCTTCCTGATGGTTCCTGATAGTCCTTGTTCCTGATAATTCCTGATCGTTCCCGGTAGTTCCTGATGGTTCCTGATGATTTCTGATTGTTTTTGATGGTTCCTGATGCTGCCTGATGGTTCCTGATGGTTCCTGATGGTTACTGATGGCTCCTGATGCTTCCTGATGGTTCCTGCTGTTTTCTGATTCTTCCGGATGGCTCCTGATGGTTCCCTATGCTTCCTGATGGTTCCTGATAGTCCTCGTTCCTGATAATTCCTGATCGTTCCCGGTAGTTCCTGATGGTTCCTGATGAATTCTGATGGTTCCTGATGGTTCCTGATGCTGCCTGATGGTTCCTGATGGTTCGTGATGGTTACTGATGGCTCCTGATGCTTCCTGATGGTTCCTGCTGTTTTCTGATGCTTCCGGATGGCTCCTGATGGTTCCCTATGCTTCCTGATGGTTCCTGATAGTCCTTGTTCCTGATAATTCCTGATCGTTCCCGGTAGTTCCTGATGGTTCCTGATGATTTCTGATTGTTTTTGATTGTTCCTGATGCTGCCTGATGGTTCCTGATGGTTCCTGATGGTTACTGATGGTCCCTGCTGCTTCCTGATGGTTTCTGATTGTTCCTGCTGGTTCCTGCTGCTTGCTGATGGCTCCTGATGCTTCCTGATGGTTCCTGATGGTTCCTGATGGTTCCTGATGCTTCCTGATGGTGCCTGATGCTTCCTGATGGTCCCTGATGCTTCCTGATTGTTCCTGATGGTTCCTGCTGCTGGCAGATGGTTCCTGGTGGTTCCTGACTCTTCCTGATGATTTCTGATTGTTTTTGATGGTCCGTGATGCTTCCTGGTGGTTCCTGATGGTTCCTGATGGTCCCTGATGCTTCCTGATGGTTTCTGATTGTTCCTGGTGGTTCCGCTGATGGCTCCTGATGCTTCCTGATGGTTCCTGATGGTTCCTGATGGTTCCTGATGCTTCCTGATGCTTCCTGATGGTCCCTGATGCTTCCTGATGGTCCCTGATGCTTCCTGGTGGTTCCTGATGGTTCCTGATGGTCCCTGATGCTTCCTGATGGTTTCTGATTGTTCCTGGTGGTTCCTGCTGCTTGCTGATGGCTCCTGATGCTTCCTGATGCTTCCTGATGCTTCCTGATGGTTCCTGATGGATGCTGATCGCTCCGAGGTCCTAGCCTGCTCTCCAAGCTTAGAGCCGATCATGTACTTCTTCTCAAACAGCTGCTGCCGCTCCACAAATTTGCGTGCATTGCGTAGTTCCTGACGCTATGCAACTTGAAGCAGTCACGTGCCACGGCCCCCTTCTCTTTGCAAGCCATCAGTGAATGAAGCGGCAGCAGTGTGAAAGTCATTGGAACATCTTTGTAAAGTTAATTGCAGATATGGGCCATGGTCACTATTATTTGTGCTCCAAACCGAATTTGGTGAGTAGCTCGCATTTCCTGAGGTGAGAGTGGGCTGTGTCATCTCCTTTAGAGCTGTTGTTGATGTCAGTAAATACTGACCCATGCTCATATCAAGCCTCCCAAGTCTTGTATCCTGGCTCTACTGAGTCATCTTTCAACTTGCTAGGCCACTCCGGTCCTCGTTCATGAGTTCATCCACATCCTTGACTTGCTTCAGCAGCGTTTCACGCTTTCCTTCTTTCCCCTGCACAGGCGACCAGCTCCTCCGTCAGCTGTAGGAGTCCCACGCCTCTTTCTTTTCCAACTGCTTCAAGAACTGCCCTGTTCTTTTGGTGGCCTCCAAAACTTCAGCTCAGATCAAGTCTCTTGTTGCAAGGGGCCTGCTTGTTCATGGTCTTCAGAAATTTGAAGAGATCCTGCACCTCTTTCCGCGGATGTGTCTTCTTCTCGCATTTACCTGGAATGTGAAACGTCACTTCAGAATGAGACAAAACCTGGGCTAACGATCAAACACTTGCACGGAAACACCACGTCAGGATCCCAGAAGACGAGATGCTTGGATCTTCCAAAGTTTTCATTCGACTTGGCACCTGCGTCCATGCATTTACACACATTTACACAAACATCATACACAACCAGCGGCCGGGAAGGTTTGAGGTTCAGTTGTGGAACTCAACTATCTGCAATGCAAAGGCGGCACCTTCATTCCTCTCTCTGTGTGCTGCACAATGGCACATTTCTGCCAGAATTTGATTGTCTCTTTGAACCTCAGCGAGGCTGGACACATTTAGTTCGTGCCGCTCCATGAAGCAACCCAGCACATTCATCAAAAGAAGCTTGCATAGGCAAAAAGTCATGTTACAGTCGTCCTTTAAAGTCCGCCAGTGAGTGTAGATGGTAGGGGCCATCTTGGGTCTGGAATGAAGGCTTTCAGTGCCTGCATTTTGGGCGAATAATCCGGCTCTTGCAAACTCCTGGAAGTTTCGGGTCAACCTCCAGGCGGTTTCCTAAGCAGGCCATGTTCTGCAGAATTTTGCTCCTTGGCTGATTGATCAAGTTGTTTGGCAGTTGTTGCTCTTTGTCTTGAGCCACGTTGGGATCTGGATGTGCAAATTCGTGATTTCCTCGGATTCCACACAGGAAGGCAAACGTACGGCTGCTGGCTCCAAAGCATCCGCACCATCGTGATGCTTGATGTCGTTTTGGGTGTAAATTGAACTTGAACGAAGGCCTTCTGCATCCCAGCATCCCCAGTTTGGGCAATTTGGATTTAGAGGCTCTCTTGGTCCAAGGCCGAAGGCTTTCACGCTCAAAACCGGTTGCAAGCAATCTGCATTGCCTCAAGGCAAATGGAGCACTAAATATGAAATAAGCTCAGGTGATGTCCCCAGCACCACGCGGCGCTCTTTTCGACCCTCACGGAACCCTGCGAAACCTTTACCTCAGAGCCGACCTGACCACCCCCCTTCCCCAGCCACAGTGACAAAACACGCGTTCAAAAACGACCCCCCTTTCCCCGGAGCCCTCGCAGAACTTTGCCAGAACCCTGCGGAAACCCTGCAGAACCCGCTACGGAACCTTGCAGAACCCTCGCTGCGGAACCTTACCTCAGAGCTGCCCCAGACTACCCCGATAAACCTCCGCCTCTTACGCCAGAACCTTGCTCGGGCCAACGCCAAACCGGAACCGAACCTGACTCCAAAGCTGCCCTGTGCATCCGGTTGAACCTTACAGTCGCAGGTTGACGACGCTGCATGGAGTTGTGACCAGTGCGATTGGGACATGTGCACTTCATGTGCATAATATGAGTTTCTTGCGCTTCTGGCTCTACCTTTTGCTCAGGGTCTTTTTGTTTCCCTTGTGTTTCAACCTGCTCCTGGATCACCCAGACCCTCCCAAACCTTGCTGGAACACCGGACCTCACCAGACCATTCAGAATCTCCAGAACCTCCCAAAACCTCGGAGCCTTGGCTCGAACCTTACACCAGGCCTGCAACAAACCCGGAACCAGGCCACCCGGAACCTTCCTCATTGTCCCAAAACCTTCCTTGAATCTTACACCAGAACCTCCTGCACCAGACCACCCGGAACCTCCAGAACCTTCCTTGAACCGGAACCGGAGCTTTCCTGCGCCAGACAACCCCGGAACCTCCGGAACCTTGCACGAACCTGACTCCAGAGCTCCCCCGAGCCCCCTTAGCTTGCAGCTGCTGCGGAATATGTGGTTCCTCGTATTCTCCATCAAGAACTGCTGCAATGGTGTGTTTGTGAAATTCACCTTGATCTTAAGTTTTGTCATGCACATACTCCATATTTCTGTACCGCGCCTGAACGGAGTAGCGAAGGCTGGACCAAATGACTTGCTTCTAGAGCTTGCTAATCCCTGCAAAGCTGCATGGTACACATGGGAGAGTATTGTGATAGGCTTTCATGGCCAACAACAACGCAGTAGAATGTCCCAGAATATCCCAGAGGAATGTGTCGGGAATATTGTGGACTTCCGTGTCCAAAAAAACACATTGCAACATCCGCGAGTATTGGGCGCGTGCTGAGGTACAGCGACCAATCACGACACTTTGGACACTCTCCGACAAATATCTTGTGAACTTCCGTGACCACATAAGAGAAGCAACTAAACACTCATCAGGATATTCCAGAGACATGCTTCGGGCTCGTGTGAGCGTCGGCGGTTGCCGTAGCAAGCTCTGTCCGACAGGTCGGGATGCGGCCATTGACTGGGAGGCAGGCTCCGGCGTTGAATGAAAAGAAGGCGGAATGCACCTCACATGTGCAGTAGACGTCGAATGGTTGGCCTGCAGCCCCACAGGCATGCTGTGCCATCCGCCACTCTTCCTGAGTGAGCTCCCCCTTGGGCTGCTTCATCTGCACCTTCAAATGGGTGCAATGGTCCTAGAACTTCAAGTGAATCATGTGTAGCGCAGTCCTTCAGATCTTGCAACTTCTTTGCCCTCACGTATGTGTCCTCAACACGGCGGAACTCTCCATATAAGTGGCAAAGCAGTTGTGCTGCAAAAGAAAACGCGTGGCTCGACATGCGATTGGCACAGTGCTCTGTGGCACAAAAAAGGCATGCTGACAACGCGAGGCTGCAAGTGACATGCACTCCCACCTCCGGCAACAATGTCGGAGCATTCGGATCTTTCTTCTTTGCTTTGGGCTGCAAGGAAGGGAAAGGCCACATTGTCACATTGCGCTTCGTTGTCATGCTAGATGTCACGAGAAATGTGCAAGGCAAATCACGGGCACATAGTCAAACCAGCCAGGCAGGCCCCCATCCTTGGAAGGGGCCTATCAAGGCACGGGGAGATAGAGCATGTTGTGATGATGCTGCAATGCCAAGCCATGACTCTTGCGGCGACGCAGGCCTCCGTTGCACTGGCCACGCTTGGCAATGAATTCTTTGAGCCGAGGCAACAAGCCCTTCAACATGTGCCCGCCACTAGCTATATGTGTCATCCCTGCAAGAATATGCTGATTTCCAACCACTCTTTGGACTATCCTTGTACCAGAGAGTAAGTCAAGGCACAGAGAAATATCAATGCAACCCGCAGCATTGGCATGGCATGCTTGTCTGCACTGTCTGGGTTTGCTCCGCCCCACCCCACGTAGCCAATGCTCCTGCAAGCAAGCACAGAGTTATAAACCAGTTTGAACCACAGACATTCAGAAGCAGCACAAATGGCCTGGCTCCTGACACGTCCAACTCCTGGCAACCAAGACTGTACAAGCAGAACTGCCCTGAACATGGCAAACCTGAGTCAGAATTGTGTCCAACCAGGAAGGGTCGCCATCCCCATCACCTACAAGCATTGGCACTCTGCTGGCGGCTTGTACCAAGAAACACACCAGAATGCCTGAAGCCCGCTCCAAGTAGAACCTGGGCGTGGTGCCAGCTGTAGCTTCCCACGCATCAATATCTCAAGCGCATCGGGAGTCCCGCGTAGACCTCGCACCATCCGGCAAGTCACTCTCATCTGCCTCCGGGATCCTATCCAGCTCAAGCAAATTTTAGACATCTCATCACATGATCAACAGTCCTCAGGAATATAGGAAGAGTGATGTCTTCAGATCTGGGTAGAAAAGCTTCAGGGTATCCAAACCTATCATGCATGCTGTTCTGCAGAGCAGAAAAGAAGAAAAAAACAGAGCCGGCCAGGCATGACATGCCAAATGGATTCGAAGACGAGGCAGTGCATTCCAGAGCCATGCCTGCCAAAATTCAATAATCTTGCTTGTCGCAAAATGGCCACCCAGTGCATCAACAAAAGTCTCTTTTTGGAAATGCAAGCCTGACATGCTCGCAGCCATCCGGAAGTGGCTCATCCATTGCCTTGTACAATTCACAGAGCTGGGGCTGCCAGGGTGCCCCATGTCCAATCAACTCATCCCAGCGGCTGCCAACGCACGCTGCCAAAGTGCTTCGGGTGCTAGGAGCACGTCCTGCAAAATCATCTTCAGCAATCTCACCGGACAGCGGCTGACACCAGGATCCTGCCGGACAAGGAACTGAGCGCCTCAGGTGAGTGACACAAGCAAACAATGCTGTTCGATGTGGTGATACTAGCTGCGTTTTGTCACAAGGCCCAAAACAATTGCTGTGCCTCAGGTCCAAACAGCAGTAGCTGGTTGCCATCCGCTGCTGGTCCCTACCCATGACCTTGCGCGGGAGCTCGGATAAGTTCCGGAACCAGTCAGCTGCATGCTCTGAGCAGCTGGAAGTCCAAGCAGTACCACACACACACACGCAATGTGTATATATATTTATAAAGATTCATTCTGGCTTGCTCTTTTCCGCGCTGCAAGACCAGATTTGTCTGAAAAATTGAAACTTGAAACTTGTATTAAACACCAAACACCTATTCCCAATAGGTTTTCAAGACCCCGGGGTCTTCCTGGCCAAGCCCAGGTAAGCCCCAGCCCCAGCCTTGATTAAAGACCACCCCACTTTGTCTGGCCAAGCCCAGAAACTAAAAGGGGGTTGAGTCTTTCGAGTCGGATTACCCCTCGACTCCTTAAAACTTCAACCGCCATCTTCCCTGAGGCGGTTTTGAAAAAGGGTCGGATTACCCCTCGACCTCATTTTTGACTTTCTTTCCACGTCCCCCTGTCCTGCCTTTGGCATGCTCAAATTTCGGCAACGGTGCTTTGACCGCTTTCAAATACTGATTTCGGAACACCCCCACATCCGGGTGGTTGGGCGTCTTCATTTCAGCTTGAATGGCCAACCCCTCATTGAGGTAAATACGGGCGGTCTTCTGCGCCTGCCACCGACCTTGAACAAGAATCTTATCCAAGGATCCATGTTTACGAAACCAAAAGGTTGCCCCGCCGCGCCTTAAACTGTATGGACGAAATTCAAATGCGGCCAAACGCAGATCCTTAAGATATTGCGCAAACTTCTGACGCCACATATGGGGCGGGGGGCACAAATTGATGGGAGTCACTGCGGACTCCTTCCATTGCGAAAGTCGACGAACTACATCGGCGACCGACACGGTGACACTTTCGGCGGCACCTTGCCTCTTGCCGGCTTTGGTAAGACCAAGGGAAATGACGGCCGGAGTAAATCCGGCTCCCGGAGAAACATGGGATTTCATGACACCCAAAATTTCCCCAGTGCGCAACATGGAGTAGAAGCCCACAAGGAGTGAAAGGGCAAAAAGCGGGTCCTTTCGAAAAAGCGCCAGGCCAACTAGCGCGTGAAGGATATCTTCAGAAAGTGGAGGCGCACGATTGGGCATCTCATTGGAAACCCAGGTTTTCATAAGTCTCCAGCTTTGCTGGAGCTTGCCTCGCACCTGGGGCTGCGCATCTTGTATTGCAGCTGAAGTATAAGACCCCAGGGCCCTTCCTTCACCATTTGCCCACAAGTGCTCCAAATATTCCCCGACCAGCTCATCCAAGAAGGACTGATCAGTCGGCAGAACCTTCCCATTAAACTTCAGGAACGAAAAGAAACCTTTCAAAGCTCGGTCATACCGAACACGAGTAGCAGGCTGCACTGTGATTTGTTTCAAACTCCCGAGTCGCTTGCGAATTCTGACCCTGTCTTCTTTGGTTCTCCCCTCTACACATTTAGGGCTCACTTTACCCATTTCTTCCGGACACTCCGCCGACTCGGCCGGTCGGCCGGGTTCTGAGATGTGTGGACATAAGCCCACACTGGAAAACAACGGGAGGCCAAAAGAAGACAATTAATGCGGGTCAATGTTCTGCAAAGTTTGCGACTACTGGTACGCCCTCGGGCAAGGGAGTGCATGCATACTAAACTGTCTGTCAAGTGAATGAATTTAGCTCTAGCCACCTTGCGCCCAGGGAACCTTCGAGGACGAGAAGTGGTGAAGGTAGGACAGATCGTGTCCTTATGTCAGCATCAGTGGACCTAGCACCAGTTCGAATTGATGCAGCAGGTGTTTCCGTCGCACAAACGTTTATAAGAGGGATGGTGAGGTTGTTGAGATCGAGCTTGTCGCTTCTATCGACCCCAGTATATTGAAGCTACAGATTCCATAAGCAGACGAACTTGACACCAGGGGAAAGCCTGTTTAACCAGTTCCAAGATCCTAGGAACATGGGCGAACAAGCACGATCTTTCATCTTTGAGGGCCCCTTTACGGTCAGCGTTGAGCCCACTGACACCTTGGCACGGGGGCCCAGCTCCAACGACGATCAAACTTGCCTGCGAAAAATGGGTGGCCCAACCCTTCACCACCTCGGCATCCACAGTGGTAACATCCTCCCACATAAGGGAGGCAGGGTGCATGGACTCTGTAACCCTCCTGGCCTCTGCGTTCTTCTCAACGGCAATGTGCCCCAGCAACGGCAGCTGCGATGCCTCCGCCGCCACTCGAAGTGCACCAATGCCATCGAAGAGCCCAATGGTCACCACCCCGCAAAAATCAAAGGGTTCTGGAAGGTCACCTTGTTGTGGCATTTTGGGAGGCAATAACACCCCATGGGCTCAAGCCCTTGCTCCGGGTTACGCCTCCCCCCGTAGATGAAGCGTCACTTGCTGTAACCATCCCCTGGATCTCTGTGCGAAAATCAAAGTGAGCCAGGGGAACCAAACCCACAAACCTCAAGATCTCCATCTTAACCAACTCGGGAGTACGTAGGGCGGATCCTTCTCTCAGACCTTCGAAACTCTTGATGTAAGACCAAATGTGGTTCAACGCCGAAAGGAGGGGTCTACGGAACATAGTCATACACACGAATCCCCCTCCCACAATCTGAACTTGTCGTTGCGTGCTAAAGGTAGAACTGGCAAGCTTCAGCCCCAAACCACATACTTCAGGATCTTGTCCACCTTGAGATAGGCAACTCCACGCACCCCATCAACCACTGCTCCCTGTACTTCCGCCTGAGATTGGAGGGCGACAGCTTTCTTGGGGTGCCTTGGAATGTTCCACCTTGCATACTCCTCCTGAAGGGCCAACACAGTGGGAGTCAACTCTCCCTTCAATGTAGCGGCTAAGTCCTTGTTGAACCTTTGTGAGCTCGTCAAAATTGTCCAAATAAATGCGGAACATGCTAGCTGACGTAGGGAAGGGCCTGTCACGCCTCAATTCCTGATCCCCTCCACTTAAACGACCTGAGTTCATCAAGCCCTGCCGCAAAACATAACGATGCACATGTTGGGCAATGCTCACAGAATTCTTGAAACCCATAGGAAGAACGGTCGCCGCCAAATAACATGTTCCTGATTTCCCCTCACAGAGGCTCTTAGGCAACGGGCGGTTGAAGGCCATGAACCGATGCCAAGAAATTGGTACTTTAAAATTATAAAAGATACATCTCACGTCCTCGCTGGATATAAGAAGGTCTTCATCGATAGCGACAGAGGCCCCATAGAACTCCACGAAGGGAGAGTAGCAATGTCGCCCTCAATGCCCCTGCAAATCCGATTCAAGGGTATCAAGTTCATGATGAGTCGGTGAACCTCAATCTCGCCTGACCAGTCGCCCTTCAAAACCCCGAAGAGACCATTCAACAGGGGCTTGTCTCCTTGTCCAGCTCGTTGGCCTTCTCTCTCAAGGCCGCCATGTCGTCCACTTGAACCGGCATATGGCCCACCAGGTTGTCCAGCCACGCCTCCCCTGCTCCTGGGAGGCGAAGCCTGACTTCCTTCACGTGGACCAACCCGCCCTCGCATAGACCTGCCACGCAACCGTCTCCGCACATGTGCAACCTGCAACGGCTCCCCGGATTCCCTGTTGATCACTTCAGGAGGTCCTCGTTCTCCGTCCCTGAGAGCCGAACCTCCACGACGACCCCTGCTCCGTCCTCTTCGACTTTCTCCACTGGAACATAGCGTGACGGGGGCTTCCCAGTTGCCTTCTACCACGATCAAGCTCTGGCCTGGCCTAATCAGGTGTCTTGGCAACTCCACAACGTTCACACTCTCACCTCGCTCAAACTTCTCTCCAGACGAAAGCTCTCTTCCCGCCGGCCTCCTCAACACGGCAGGGTCCTCTCTCTCCTCCTCCCCTGCTGGCCTCCTTCGAACCCTAGCAAGAGCTACCGGCAGCCGGGCAAGGGCTTTTGCTCTACCTTTTGCTGCTGCCTTAGCTTTAGCAGCACCTCTTCTTCCGCCCACCTTCGGAGGCATCAAACTCCTTGGCCTCCCAAGTACTTTCCCAGCCGAACGCGCTCGAGGCCCTGCTCCAGAAAAAATAGGAGCTGGACCCCCGGCACAAGTCCCTGACCCTGCTAAGGGTCAGGCAAAGATCACACTGGCACACTCCTTCGGAGGAGTGCCCCAGTATGGTCATCACCCGCAAGCCGAAATCTGGCGGAACGCAACCCTAATTCATCTTTACATACCGGGGCGTTACATCATATACATATTCACACGCAAGCAAAGAAAGCCAAGCCAAGCCAAGCAAAGCAAAGCAAGGCAAGGCAAGGTGAAGAAAGCAAAGCCAGCCAGCCAGCCAGCAAAAAAACAAGCAAAAAAGCAGGCAGGCAGGCAGGCAGGCAGGCAGGCAGGCAGGCAGGCAGGCAGGCAGGCAGGCAGGCAGGCAAGCAAGCAAGCAAGCAAGCAAGCAAGCAAGCAAGCCAGCAAGCAAGCCAGTCAGCACACAGACACCAGCACACACCGGCACAGACACACAGACACACAATCACAGGCACAAACAGGGACAAACTCAGCCACCCCAGTCCCCCCTTGACCATGATTTATGCCCAGAATGTTTGTTCAGGCCTGTTATGTGACGATTGGTGCAGCCTCCAGTTTCCAACATTGAGGCGTAAATTTTCTACAGATTATATGGTGTGCTGTTTTTGCGGCCCCTTTTTTTCCTCCAGAATACTTTACATCAACAACTCCATGGTGTGTAAAATGTTGTTTGGTCGGCGTGAACCTCCACAGAGATAGAGGCGATGGAGGCTGATGCTTGGTTTAAATCATAACCCTTGAACAAATGTCAAAAGTTGGCTTCGCCAAGTGTTTCAAAAAAAGAAACTTCTCAGAACGAGCTTTATGTGTTCAACTGCTTTAACATATAGCTAAGGTTTTATAGAAATAAGAACTGGGCTGAAAAGGAGCTTGATTTGTTCAACAGCCTTTACTACTTTACCTTTCGCCAAGGTTGTGAAAAGCAACACACATTTCAGTCGGAGCTGTATTTGTTCAATAGTGTTTACCTTTGAAAGGGG